GGCGGGAGTTGGCGCGCTCCCACTTGCCGTGCAGGCGCTCCCGCATCGTGCCTGGCGCCGCCGCCCGCCGCACGGTCTGCGTCGGGTGCAGCTGGCTGCCACCTCAACCAAGGCGAGGCGATGCCAAGCGCAAGCGTATGCCTGCGCCGATCAAGGCCGCATGTGGTGCTTGGCGCCGATCGAGGCGAGCGCGCCCAGCTGCGGACGGCACCCAGCGCGCCGGTCCAAAAGCTCGCTGTGTGACCGGTGCCTTGAGAGCGCAGTCAGCGTCCAGCGAGCCCTCCGACGCCCTTATATTACGCACTCGGCTTCATTGAACTCGTGGGAGCCGCGCTTCGGTGATTATACGACCCCGTCCCCAATCATGACCTTGGATAAGCAACGCACCGGGCGGTGAACAATGCCGACAAGAAAACACAGCTAACTGTTTCATCAATGCGCTCCAAGATGAGCGTTTTGCTGGCCAAGAGCGTGATGGAACCTCTGCTTTGATCCAATGCAGGGCATGGACCCATCAGGCTTATGTTACAACACGGAATATCTAGTTTCGAAGTTATGACCGCCTTCTGTTGCCAACCTTGGCTGGGTGCGGTAGTTGCGGGAACGGTTCGTTCATGAATGTGTCCAGGCTCGCCACGTTTGCTGTGATGCTGACAGTTACATCTGAAGTAGTTTGTAAATGGTAGGCTTCCTGGTGCGCATAAATCTTTTCCTTAGACGTCCAGACGCCAGCACCCACATGTGCAGACTCGGCTACGACGCGTACTGATAGATATGGCGTTGAATCTCAAGATAACGTGTGAGTAGTGCTCGTGAAGCGCCACTTGAGACTGAGCGAAGTGCATTGCAGACAGAGCTGCGCAAGCGGGGCACGCCACTCGCGCACTGCGTGGCGCCCGTACGGGCTTCGCGCCATGCTTGGGGGGCCCCTTCACGTTGCACCATGCAACAGTGACAGCCATGTAACGCTCGCTTGTAATGCGCCGCACTGCACTACGCAGTGCAAAGCACAAGATGGGCGGGCCCCGCGCCGCGCCTGTGGTTGGAGCACGGAGCTGAGCAGTGCCAGGCGCCCGGCGGCGCGGCAGCTGCCCTGCAGTTTCCCTACGTGCCTTCCAAGGCCGTAGACATCCTGGTAAGCTATGACAATCCCATACCCTGCACGAGCGCCCCGCATGGCCGCTCCCTCTCTCGCACGCCCGAGCCGCACTAGCGCCCGCCCAGCTCTGGTCTGCGCCGGCCGCGCCACCGCAGCTCCGCACGTACAAGCGCATGCACGTACGCGCGCATGCGCATCGGCGTGCCGGCTGCATGTCACGTTGCCCCAAACCGCGACCTCACCACCAGGCGTTTGACCCCTCAGTGGCGCAAGACGAGCGAGCCTTCATAGCCGGGTCGTCCTTCAGCGCGGAGCAGGTGGGGCCGCCGCGGCCAGGATAAATTGGCACCACCTGCCATGCCGGCGCTTGTGAACCCGCTTGGCCCGTCTGTCACCATCCTCAGGCCGCGTGGCGGGCCCAGTTTAGAAGCGGCCGGTGCTCCTTGGGCCCCCTGAGCTCAGCGCCCCCTGCCGGCTCCCCTGCGACTTCGCCTTGGGGCCGCGCGCTCGCACCCCGCAGCTGCTGCAGCAGGGCGGAACAGGGACGGTTGTGCTGATGGACGCCCAGGGCGCCCTGAGGGGCCGAGTGCAGCTGCGCGCGGAGCTTGTGGAAGCTGCCGGGCGGCTGCCGCCGTCGCTGCTGGACCCGGCGGCCAGCCCGTTTGCCGACCCCACGTGAGTCTGTGCTGCGGCCGCCTGTGGGCCCAGCTAGGGGACGTCATACCAAGAACGCTGGGGAAAAGGGGGCTGCGTCTCGAATCAGAGAGTAGATGCAGAAAGCTGTGCTGGGAAGCGCTCCACTCACGAGCAACGTTTCTTGCGGCAGGTAGTGAGCAGCAGTCCTCGCGCTCATCCGATTGCCGCCCCCTGAATTGTGCATCGCCTGCAGGGTCCAGGACTCAAAGGCAAAGCCCAGGGACTTTGCGCAGCGGATTTCCGAGAAGCTGTCGCGCAGCATCAAAGGACGCGGCAGCAAAGCGTTAAGCGCGGGCGGCGGGGGCGCGAGCGCGGCGGCCTCCAGCATGGGCGGCGCCAGCGGGGCGAGCGGAGAGTCGACGAGCTCTGGCGGCGGCGCAGCCGAGGCCGAGCCGTTGAGGCCGGCGGCGGCGCATCTGCAGGCCGCCTCCTTTTCTCCCCTCACGAGGTCGAGAGGCCACCTCGCTGCCCGCCTGCGCCTGTCCGAGCCCCTCCACCCCGCTGGCGCCGCGGATGCGGAGCCTTCGCCGACACCCGGCGCCGCGCAAGACCATGGCGACAGGGCGCGGGCGCACTGCCCGGCATGGATTGCGGCCGGCGACGCGGGCGACGTGCGGGAGCGCGTCGGCACGCTGGAGCAGGCAGTGGCGGCGGCGGCAGGGATCGAGGCGCCGCAGTCGCTCAACGCGGAGTCGACGGGCCCCGCCCACGGCGACCCGCGGTCGCGGCGGCAGCAGCAGCAAGCTGGAGCGGGCGCGGGCGCGGGCACGAGCGCGGGCCGCGGTGCAAGGAGCGGCCCCGCGGCTGATCCGCCGGCGGCCTCAGGCGACGGCAGCGGCGGCGGCGGCGGCGGCGGCCACGAGCAAGGCACGGAGGTGGGCCTGCTGGAAGAGCTCGCGCGCCATGGGGCCGAGCGCCGCGCCGCGAACGCGCAGCTGCTGATGGCGCTCGCGCGGCAGACGGCGGCCGACGCGGAGCAGGACGCGCTGCTGCTGGCCGCCCTCGGCGGCGGCGGCGGCGGCGGCAGCACGATCAACGCCCGCGGGACGCCGTCAGAAGGCGCTGGCGGAGGGGAGGCGGCCGGCGGCTCTGGCGGCCGCCGGCGGGGGTCGCCGCTGGGTGAGAGGCTGTCGGACAGCCGGTTTGAATCGTTCGCGCCGTTCCTGGCAGGCTCGGCGAAAGGCGAGCAGGCACTCCTGGAGATGCCGACGCCGCGCCTGTGCGGGGGCAGCAGCGGCAGCAGCGGCGCCGGCGCCCGCGCTGCGCCGGCGGGCGCGGCCGCCGCGGGGCCAGAGGGGCTGGGCGCATCCTCTGGCGGAGCGGCGCTGGTGCGCCCGGCGCTGCCCAGGCGCTGGGACTCGTCCGCGCAGGAGGGAAGGGCGGGTGGGGGCGACGGCGGAGGCAGCGACCGCGCGATTGAAGGGTTTGGGGCCCCTCTGAGCGTGCCAGCTGGCTCCGCCAGCCTCTCATTCAAGCACGGGTACCCGAAAATCGAGCTGCCGCCCGCTTCAGAGGGGCTGCGGCCTCGAAAGCAGCAGGCAGATGCAGGGGCTGGGACGCCGCCGGCGCTGGCGCGCGCGCATTCGCGCGCCGCGTACGCCGTCCGCTTGCCGCCGTTCAGCCACCCGCTGTCGCTACCGGCGCCGGCAAACGTCCGTGGAGCGGGGCCCCAGGCGGAGGATGCAGCGGCGCGCTGGCGGCGCGGCCGCGCGTCCGCGGCCGCTGCGACCCAGCTCGCCGCGCGCCTGGACGCTGTCGCGCGAGGCCGGACGCAAGACCGCACGACTGACTCCTCGGACGAGGAGGAGGCTGGGGCTGCACGTGCTGCAGCGGCCTCGGCCGCGGACGCGCGAGTGCGCGACCGCGTGCAGCGACGGCCGTCCGCGGCCGCGGGCACGCGCGCCGCCGCGGCCAAGAAGCTTCCTGGCGGGAAGGCGCGCGTCGACACCTTCCGCCGCCTGTCTTCAGAGGGCGCCCCCTCCCCGGCCCCGGCCGCCGCGGCGCCGGCGGCGACGCCAAGCGCCGCGCCTCCGCAGCGCCCGGCGGTTGCGCTGGGGTTTGATCCGCCTCGCCATACCGCACCCGCCTGGCATGTATGGGCCGGGCCTGCCGCAAGCTGGGCAGCGGCGTGGACGCCGGCGGGCGCGAGGTGGATGCAATGCGAGCATGGGTTTGGGGATGCGGCGGCATGCTCGGCCGGCGAGCCGCAGTTCCCGCCGCGCCGCGCCGCCGACGCCCCGACGGCGCCGCCCTGCACGGCGTTCTGAGCGCGGCGCCTGGGCACGTGTCCGGCACGGGCAGGGCGGCCTCGGACCACGGCGCCGCGCACAATATTGAGAGGATAGGCGCTGGTGCTGTGATGCTGTTTCCCGCGCGACTCGCGCTGTTGCCTGGGCGCCTCACAAGGGTGCGCACGCTGTTCTCTGGTTTGCTGGCAACACAGTCTGTTGCTGTTGCATTGCAGGTGGTGCGGCTTGCAGACACACACGGCGCAGCTCGTTGCCAGTCGGAGCGGCGAAAGGGGTGCCAGTAGTGGGACGTACATGTGTATGCAGTAAGGTCTCTGTGGCCCTGCTTGGAGCGAGTTTCCCATCAGTTGCGGTCGTCGAGGCCGCCGCCACTCGTCGTGATTGGGAGTGGCCGCACATGGTCTGTCCAGAACCTTGCGTAGATATGTGTGATTTGATTTGATGATGGGAGGCAGGTAAAGTAAGGCGACGCAACCTGACGTATGCAAGGTGGGGGTGCCCCTGCATGGGAGAGTGCTTGACACTCACCACGCAGGGATGGCGCAGCACCATTGGCGCGTCGGTCATGTTTCCAGCCGGCCAGCAGCGTCATATGCCCGCGTCGTAGCGGCACGGACGGCCTTTACAGGAGATTGATCCGTGTTCTGGGTCACACAGGTCGGGCATGTGAGCCGTTCCAGTGCAAGCTGCGGCGGGGGCGTGCCGAGCCTGTCTCCACGGAAGCCGCACGTCGGCGAGCATTTGTGCGCATGGTCGTGCTGCAGCCACATGTCGGTGTGGATTTTGCCAGCAGCACAAGCGGCAAAGCTTTCAAGTCTCCCTAGCTACGGAGAAACTCCGTTGCATGCAGTATGTTGACTGTGGGGCGCCTGGGGTGGTCACCACCGTAGACACCGTATATGGCAGATGAGGCAAGCAGCAGAATCTCGAGGAGAGTGGGGTATACCTACAAATAGCAGGCAGTGAGAAAACAAGTTGCGGCTTAGTCACCCGCCGCCGCGGTACTGTCGCGCCCGCGCTGTTGCAGTTGCGCACAGGGCTGGTGCTAACGCTGCAGGGCGGGCAACAAGCCCGATTTATTACCACACGTCACTAAAGCAGCCCAAGTCGCATCAACACGGTACTTTTAGTGGGTGCCGCTTGCGCACTCGAAACCACTCACGCCCCTGACGGTGGACCACCGATGGTGACAGAGTGACTGCCGGTATGGTTGTTTGACCGTGACTCCACGTCTAAAGGTTGTGAAATCTACCTCAAATTAATAAAATATGGGAGGATTGCAGTGCCGTGCTCTCATGTCAGTCAGCCTCGTAGTCACCAGGCTGCGTTGACGGGTCCATTCTTCGGCCCGTCACGGCCTTCATTTGGTGGCAGCGCTTTAGCGATCCATCGATTACTTCAATCGGTTCTCTTGGTCCTTAGAAACGATGGGAGAAGACAACAAATCCGATGGCCCGACCAAGGAATTTGTGCCGGGCAAGGGCTTCACCACGGCTGGTGAGCATTCTTTGTGTGTTGATGGTTGAATGTCATTGTGCAGGGTGCAAGTGTTCGGGTGTCGCCGACACGGATCAGCCGCGGGCCAGGTGGGCCCGCCACAGCACAGAGGCACGGGGTCCGTGACCTGAACCATCCGAACATTTTGTGATGTGTCCAGAGGCCAATTGGCCCGGGGCTCATCCGTTCCAGGCCCGCCAGGCCTTTGCTGCTGTGCACACACCCTGCTACCACACTCACCTGACCCGGCCACATGACCAGCAGCGCGGTGCATGTTCCCCTCCCGCGAAAAACCTGGGCCCCCGCAGAGGCCGAGGCGCTCATCCAGGAATGGGGCCGCAACGAGCTGGAGGAGAAGACCACTCCCAAGTGGCTCATCTTCCTCAAGATGGTGCGATTGCATAGCACATGCCGTCCAGCAGGCGCCCCTCTGTGTCTAGGCGAGGGGAGTGTGTCTGCATCGTCGCTTCAGCTTGTGAATTCGCCTGGAGCCACCAGGCCTGGCTTCGGGGCTGCTTTCGCACGGTTGCCCGCAAATCATGTAATCGTGCACTTGCAACCGTCAGGCGCACTGTGCCGGTCCTCCCTTCTGCTTTGCCGCCTGCGCACTCGCCCCAGAATGTGCACCGCCATTGGCGGGCCGCCCCAATGCTTTCTGGAATGCTCAATCCGCACGTACGGACCAGGGTGTACCCGGATGTCAGGACCCTGTGCATGTGCCCAGATCTCACCCGCAACTGCTCCTCCATTGCCCACTGGTCTGCATCGTCATGGCCGCAGCTCATCCAGCCGATGCCCATCATGATCTGGATCGCCATCATTATCATGCTCGCCCTGGAGCACTGGATCGACTTTGCCATCCTAATGGCCATCCAGTTCATCAACGCTTTCCTCGGATGGTGCGATCCACCTCGGCTCATCCCGCCGGCCGCAGCCGTCGCTGTGGCTGCGAGCACATGGGCTAGTTGCTCTGTGCATGCCTGGGGTCGCGTGGCCGTGCCAGCAGCGCAGTTAAGAAAGCATGTGCTGAAGGTATCCTGCTGACTGTGCGTAGCATGATTCCCGCAAACGTTACAAAATCAATCCAAGGTATGAGACCGTGAAGGCCGCCGACGCCGTGGCGGCGCTCAAGGCCTCCCTCAAGCCCACTGCGACCTGCAAGCGCGACGGCCAGTGGCAGAACCTCGACGCCGCCAACCTCGTGCCCGGCGATCTGGTGCTGCTCGCCGCCGGCAGCAGCATCCCCGCGGACTGCATAGTCAACCACGGTGCGCCCCTGGCCACGCGCTTGGGATACGACATACATCGGACAGGGCACGCACAGTGGTTTGCTGGTGGGCCTGTTCCTTGGCATTCGCTTCCAGGGCGTGGCAGGCGTCGCGCACACACAGCACCTGCGAGCTCGGCTTCTTTCCTCCGCCACAGCTGCCCTGCAGCTGGAAGATTGGTGCACGGTCAATGTCCCCAATCTCACAAAAAGCCCCTAGTCATCAGGGGTGAGGGTTTTTCCAACCCCCAACCCGCGACCCCTGGTGGCCACTTGCCACGCCCCACCCCACACCCCACTCCAACCGCACCCCAAACCCCAAACCCAAACCCAAACCCAAACCCAAACCCAAACCCAAACCCAACCTCAAACCCACCCCCAAACCTCACCCCAAACCCAACCCCTTCAGGCCGCATCGAGGTTGACCAGTCAGCCCTCACCGGCGAGTCACTGCCCGTGACCATGTACCAGGGCGACAGTGCCAAGATGGGCTCCACCGTCACGCGCGGCGAGGTCGAGGCCACAGTCGAGGTGCGCAGCGCCAGCCACCCAGGCATGGACCTGCAAGCCGACATCATCAGCGCCGCGTTCCTTTCGGGGCCGCGCTCCAGGCTGTGTGCGGCGCCCTGGCAGCTGCCCAGACATCACTGCGACGCCACACGCGCCGGGGCTTGCGCAGCTGTAGCAAACGCATGCTTCGCCCATTTTGTACGGCCCTTTCACATGGCAACTGCCCCCGTTTTTCCTGACTCCCGCCCCTTGATGCCCTCACCCAGTTCACCGGCAAGCACACCTTCTTCGGCAAGACGGCGACGATGCTCCAGCAGGCCGACGGCATGGGCCACCTCCAGAAGATCCTGATGCAGATCACGCTCGCCCTGGTGGTGCTCTCCGTCGCGCTGTGCGTCACCGCCCTCGGGTACCTCATCGGGTACGGCAAGGAGCCTGTCAAGGAGGCGCTCTCGTTTACGGTCGTGCTGCTGGTCGCGTCGATCCCCATCGCCATCGAGATTGTGTGCACCACGACCCTGGCGCTCGGGTCGCGGCAGCTGTCGCAGGAGGGCGCCATTGTGACGCGCCTGGCGTCGATCGAGGAGATGGCGGGCATGAACATGCTCTGCTCTGACAAGACCGGCACCCTGACACTGAACAAGATGGTGATCCAGGAGGACTGTCCCATCTACACGCCCGGTAGGCGCCCGTCGGGAGCGGCGGGCGGCGGCCAACGGGAGGGGCGCGCACGGGCCGGCTGCGGCCTGCCCCTATGCGCCAGATTCGCAGCCGTCTGCGCGCGGCATGCTGGTGTCGGTCGACCATGGCCCCAAAAGGCAGCTGGGCATTTTGCTGCGCCTCGCTCCGCCCCTTGCTTTGGCCCCACCCTGCCCTCTCCACCACAATTGCGCCCTGCCTGGCCCAACCATAAGTACGCCCCCTTCCTTGGTGACACAAACCCCTCATACCCAACGCACGCACTCGTTGGCCCCAGGCCACACCCAGGCCTCCGTCCTCCAGGCCGCCGCCCTCGCCGCCAAGTGGAAGGAGCCGCCGCGCGACGCCCTCGACACCCTCGTCCTAACCTCAGCCGACTTGTTGGCCCTGGACGTCTATGAGCAAATCGACTTCATGCCCTTCGACCCCACCATCAAGCGCACCGAGGGCACGCTGCGCGGCCCTGACGGCAAGGTGTTCAAGACCACCAAGGGCGCCCCCCACATCATCCTCAAGCTGATCGAGGTGGGTGCTTATGCTTTGACGGCGCGGGGATCCTTGCTTTGGGCGCGTGCTGGGCTCTGCTAAAGGTGATTTTGACTGTGGTTAAGCGGCGCTGGGCCGGCGGGGTTTGAGGGGCACAGCCGCCGGCGCAAAAACAGCCTATATACGGCCCACACGTCCACTCTGCGTCGCGCCGAAGAAGCAGATGGCGCCGCGAGCAACCTTGGCTGACCTCGTCCTTCCTTAAAATATAGATGTTCCACAACAACCATCTAAAAAGAATCCCTGCAACCGACTTGATTTGAACTGGTACCCAGATCGACCAGGAGGAGGTGGCAAAGCGTGTTAACTGGAAGGTGATGGACCTCGGCCGCCGCGGCATCCGCTGCCTCGCGGTGGCGCGCACAAACGACGAGGGCAAGTGGCAGATGCTGGGCATCCTGACTTTCCTGGACCCGCCGCGCCCCGACACCAAGGAGACCCTTGAGAACGCAATGAAGCTTGGGGTGGATGTGAAGATGATCACGGGTGGGCTGCAACAGGTCTCTTGTGTGCGTGTGTGTGTGTGTGTGTGTGTGTGTGTGTGTGTGTGTGTGTGTGTGCGCGTGCGTGCGTGCACGCGCGTGCGTGTGTGTGTGTGTGTGCGCGCGCGTGTGCGTGCGTGCGTGCTCGTGCGCGTGCGTGCACGCGCACATGTGTAAAGGTTGAGTGTTCGCTGCTTTGATGCAGCCGTGCGTATCGCAAGGCGGAGCAGCCTGCGCCTGTATGCTCGCTCGCAGGCGGCGGCGCTGTCGCCACCCCGGCTCGCATTTTTGGGCCGCCTGTGCCGGTGCTCAACACTTTGCCGGCAGCCCCCTGCACCCGCACCTCCAAGCCCTCTTCCCTCCGTCCGCCTCGCCCCGCCCGGCGCTGCGTTGCCACCACTCACCAGGCGACCACCAGATCATCGCAAAGGAGACGTCCCGCCAGCTGGGCCTGGGCACCAACATCCCCGACGCCGCCAACCTGCCCACCATGGACGCCGACGGCAAGATCCCCAAGGACCTCGGCAAGAACTATGGCAAGATGATCCTCGAGTCCGATGGCTTCGCACAGGTGAGCCACGTTTGACCGGGTTTGACCATAGGGTGATGGCTGAGTGTTGGCGCCTGCAACCGCACGCGCTGCTGCCACGAAGTTGTTTGTTTTGTGTGGCAACTCGCAGCCGATCACAGGAGCGTCGATAGGAACTTGGTCTGTGAGTCAGATGTGGTCTTGGCAGCAGGATTTGGACGCTACAACTTCATAAGCCAAGCAATCACGTCATCGGTGCAACCGCTCTCAGGTGTACCCCGAGCACAAGTACCTGATCGTGGAGGCGCTGCGCCAGGAGGGCTTCGCCTGCGGCATGACTGGCGACGGCGTCAACGACGCGCCCGCGCTGAAGCGCGCCGACGTGGGCATCGCCGTGCAGGGCGCGACAGACGCGGCGCGCGCGGCGGCCGACATGGTGCTCACGCGCGAGGGCCTGTCGGTCATCGTGCACGCCATTGTGGTGGCGCGCTGCATCTTCGCACGCATGAAGAATTTCATCAACTACCGGTGCGTGCGCGTGCACTCTCCTGCGGGCATGGCACCGCCGCTGGATCTCCAGTATCGCTGACACCGCGATCTCACATGCGCTGCACGTCGCGCACCGCCTCACCGCTTAGCGCAGCAGCCCGCCC